TTCTCTTCATATTCTTTCTTTTTGAAACTTTATTAAGGGTTAAAAGGGTGTTAGTACTGAGTTCTATTGGTAGTCCAACAATAAATACAGGCTAGAAGGTGAGCTCAGAAGGGCAGGAGCAGGTGAAGGCTGGAGCTTCATGATGTAGAGTCCTAGAGGCAGAACCAACTGGAATGAAACGCAGAACCAACTGGAATAAAATGCCGGGCTTCTTGCCATTCAAGCAACTTGGCCACAGGGTTGGTGCAGACTCGAGTGGTGCTGGCTGGCGTAGAAGGCACACTCATCCTCCAGGCAGGCCTCATGGGAGTGGTGGATGGCAGTGAGACAGGCTTTGAGACGTTGCCTCAGGGCCAGTGTTGGAGGAGCCAGACTGCTGGGGCCTGCCTGGCCTGTCGGGGGCTTCTGAGACTGAAGTGAGTGGATAGGGGGGCTGGCACAAAGTGGGTATTGGGAAGGGAAAGTCAGGCTGGTGGTTGCCGGTGTCCCCTGATTGCTTCGGAGCCACAGGGTGGAATCTGGGCTTTTAGGTTCCAGGGAGTAGTAGGCTACTGATGCTCCCTGCTCTACCCTAGGGCAGGCCTCTGGGAGTCCAGCATGTTGCTCATGGGGACTAGACTGATGGAGTCCAGGTAGTGCTGAAGTACAAGGCTCTGGGATCTCAGGCTGTTCCTGGGAGGAGAACTCTGATGTCTCTGGCCCAATCCTACAGCAAGATTCTGGGGGCCCTGGCTCTGGTGGAGGGCAATGTGCCATTTCAGCTTCTACTCCAGAAAAGGGCTGTGGTTCCTCACGCTCCTCTGGAAGGCAGGGCTCTAGCAGCCCAGAGTGCTTTGACAGTCCAGGAAGGTAGGATGTTCCAGTATTATGGTCTGGGGCATTCAGAGTTTTCAACATCTCAATCAGGAGAGGCTGAAGTTCAGCCATATCCAGAGAGGAGCCTCCATTAAGAGGAACACACTTGCCCATTGCCAGCCCCTCCATCGCCTGCTGCAACAGCTGCTGCAGGATACTGATGCGCTGCATCCCAGTTCTTGGAGGTTGGGGTTTTGACTTGGGTGTGGTCCAGAAGGATTTGTCATCGTTGGGTACCCAGACCTCTCCTGCATCCTGACACAACCATCCTGGTCAAACAACTGTACAGCAATCTGCTCCCAGGGTGTGGCAGGCTCTCCAGGACAAGACTGAGGAGATAGGCCACTGGACCATTGGGCTTGCTGAACTCTGGGGACTGATCCAATGGGAGTGAATTGGACTTTGGGTCGAACAGCAAGGTGTTTCAATAATGAATATGGAGTCAGAGTTGGGAGGCCAGGAGATGGTACCCTCTGTGCCCATCAAAGGGTGATGGGTGGGTGACAGACAGTGGCACCACACGGCCAGGCATAGGCTGGGCCAAAGGGGTAGGGGAAAGGCATCCCGTGAGAATCACCACTGACCCTGGTTTGTGTTATCTCCTGTGTTTCTCTTAATGGTACTCGCTGGGCCAAACCCAGGAGGGCTCCTCCTCCTTCATCAGAGTGAGAGATAACCTCATGTTCTTCAAAGAGAGGGGAAACAGGTTGCACAGGGGTCTCCAAGAGCAATCTTGAGACCTGTTTCACTGAAGTCCAGCTGCTGCCTTCTTGTCTCTCTTCTTAACTCCTGTAAGCTAGGACAAGTAGACTGAAGGGAAGATCCTGAAGGTGGATTCAGAGCTTCTAGCCTCTGGGGGCACAAAATCCGGCCTTGAGGTCCTGGTCCCTCCAACCTTGAGAAGCAAGAAGCCCTAGCAGAGTCCAGTTGGAGGATGGGGGTTCTGGGGGCTAGGTATGCAGAAGCCCAAGCATTCTGACCTCTCCGGATGGTGCCTTCCTTGCTCCCTCAAACCAGTACTCTTTGAGCCAGACTAGACTGGCGCTCCAGGGGATGGCCCTTCACCCCCTGACAGGATGGTGGCCAAGGCTGCAGGGTCAGCTACAAACTCTATGGCCTCTGGAGCCCCTGTCGGGGGAGGGGGCCCAGGCCCCACATTTTGTCTCCCAGGGCTAGGCCTGAGCTCTTCCAAGAGGTTCCGGGGTTGAGTAATCCCCACCAAACTTCGTGACTTTTCTATTGGGTGTGTGGCTTTCAACCTGGGGCTTGCTGAGTCAACGAGGGAGCGTTGAATACCGAGTGGTGGCTTCTGCACCAGGCTCCTTGGATCCTGGTTCTCCTGGTGCAGGGTGTCCAGCTGCACTGTGGAGAAAGGCGGGTGTCTCTGAGAGCAGATGGGAATCTTGTTAGGAATGGGAGATACACCTGGGAGGCGGGGGTGCTTTGTGGCTTGGAGGGTGGTCATGAGGGCTTTCCAGGAACTCTAATGGAGGACGGAAAATAAATAACGATTTCAAGTTTCTCAGGGTTGCCTCCGCTTTTTTTTCCCCTCTCTTCATATTCTTGATTACAAATGAGGTCACTCATCTCTTCATAGTCCATTTACCATGCATGTCTTTCTCTGTGACATGCCTGTCAGGTCTTTTGCTCATCATTCTATTGTGTTGTGTTATTATGACTGGTTTGTAACATTTCTTTTTATAATTGGAATGCTAGTCTTCTGTTCATTTTGTTTGCAAACTTGTTATCAATACTGGTTTGTCCTTTGCATTCTTTATTGTCTTGTTTGATTGAACAACACATATTCTTAATGTTATACTTGCAAATTAATCAGTCTTCCTTTTCATGATTAGCACTTTTGTGCCCTCAGTACTCCTTTCCTATTTTGAGGTCAGAAAAAAATTATTCTTCTATATTTCTCTCTAAACGTTTAAGCCTTTTGCTTTTCACAGTTAAACCCTTAATCCTTCTGGAATTGATCCTGGGGTATGGTTCTCCTTGGCTCAGTAAGTTATTCCAGACTTCATGAGGGTTCTGTTATTTTTTAATAGCTGAGTGAATGAGAAGCTAAAGATAGAAACTTGTCTGTAGCAAGATTTGAAAAGATAGCTAATTCTCCCCTAAGCAGCTTTGGATGAAAATCTGGTAAAATGACAGGTTTCTTTGCTCAAGCTAGGGCATTTCACACTTTAGCAAGTTTGTGTTTGAGTACCATGTGTTGAAAAGTTAAAAAAAAAGACAATAAATCCCCTCTTACCATTTGAACTATGACCCAAATCATATAGACCTGTTGTAGATGAAGAAGAAAGCATACATTTTAAAGCCTGTTTTTATAGGATGCAGAGAACTGATGTGCTATTGGAGAGGCAAGGTAATTTATTGGAAATATGGCAGTCCAGAATCCTAGGTTTAAGCCCTGATCTTACCTAGTTGGGCAACTACTTGCTATCAGTTAAGATTATGTTCAGTGGCTTGTAACAAGAGCCTGTCTTCAGTGGCTTAACCAAATAGAGTTTAATTTTCCTCATACAACAGCCTAGGAGCAGTGAAAGAAGGCCAGTGTAGACACCTTTAGTTTAGACTTTACCAAATGTAGCTGTTGTCTTCAAGATATAATTCATTCTCCAGCATTGTATCAAGGCCTCAAGCGTAATGAAGACATGATGTGAGGGTCAGGTTCCTTTGAGAGAGCTTTCCAAGAGACCTGCCTGGGAATTTTCATTTATATCTCTAGAGCCCAAACTGCTTTTACATGGCCATCATCCTCATTGGTAGTTTTAGCCCGGAAAGTTCCTTTCTTGAGCAAAATTGATGATCTGGAAAGTAAAAGGTTTGACTAAGCATTGGAGAGGATCCAGCTGTCTGTCCCATGGTCTAAGCGTCTGTCATTGATGTCTGCCTACCTGTGGCAGGGTTGTTGGAATAATAAAACAGAAGGTCCAATGCAAGAGTTTTTCATATACTCTAAATGCATTTTATGAAGAATGGAAATACTCAGACAGCATTTTCTCAGACAGCAAATCCATTGTTAACAGAGAATGCAACTAAATGCAAAGCCTTGGGAAACCAATATCTATTGAACCTTAGCTAATTCTTTTACAGATATCATGTGACAATCCAAGCACTAGTGTTTTTATGGATCAATATCCTCAGTTTTCAGTTTATTGTGGAGTATAGTTGTGGTAGGTATGCACTGATCCATCAACACAAATACATTTTCCCTTGACCTTCCTTAAAGAACCCTGCATGTCTCTTCATGGAATTTTTCTTTAGTTTGACTGTACCCTTACCTTGGCAATGGCCTTGGATTAGTTGAAGAAAAATGACTGATTCAGCAACAGGCCATCCGAGTGACTCAGAACTCTGTTTGGGACTGCCATGTAACTGCTGCCCAAATGGATGAGGGATGGATGGATGATCTAGAAGGGTTTCGGTCACATTTTGTACCAAGAAGGGGGAAGTCTAAGGATGATGTCAGTCACAGAGAATACTTGTGTCAAGAGCATTGCAGAGCAAAAAACCACAGCAAAATGTGGTTTCCCAAAACAAACCCTATTTCTGATTTGTTTTGTTTTGCGCCCAAGCTCAGTGATCCAATAATCTTTCCTTGCTTTGCTATTTATAGATGTGAGTTGTAGGGTTTTTTTGTTATAATCAAAAGATTTCTAAGTGATAGCTCCTCTGTAAATCCCATGAAAGATATAGTATTACTTTTATTATTTATTATTTTAACAAATTTATATATTTTTATATTATTTAATATGTATGTCCCTGAGTAAATTTATTTTGAAGTTTTTAGTCCTGCCTGCATTAAGACCATTGAGGCCTGAGTGTAATTAAATGCCTATTTCTCCCAGTAACACTTTGCCTGCATAACATTAAATTATTTTAGACTGGGAAATGCTGAGCCCCCTTTTTGGTCTTTAGGGGGACTGTACCTATTACCTCTCTGGCACAAGACTCTCTCCTGAGTATTTTGAACCAAAGACCAATGAAGCTGAAGGATGTTAGTGGTTTTGTAGGTGTGTTTCCTGTTTCCTGTTTGCAGAGGCAACTACAGAAGTAATAAAAGTATCAGCCTAACCTAAAGTCTCTCCAGCTGTCAAATGTTCAATAACACTTTCCCTAACTATGAGTGATCTCAGTTGCAGGGTGGTTGAGCTGCTGGAAAATCTGCACTGACACAGAGGAAGTTCTGAGTCTGGAGCACTGAGTGACTGCACACCGTGAGTTAACTTTTTAACCTTGTGGAATATTAGATTGTATAAATTCTGATTCAAAATGCAGATATCAAATTCTGGTGAGTTTGTCGTGTGGTCATGTTTGTGTTTGGTAAATAGAAAGCACAAGCTAACAATCTGTTATTAAAGCTGTCCTGGGAGAACCATTTCCATTTTTAACTTAAGATGAGTTTGTGTGAGACCCAAAAGGAAGGTCAACACTTGTTCTCATTTTCAGAATTCTTGTTCTCTCCTACTGTGACGGATTAAGTAGGAAACTATTTAAATGCCAGAGAGATCTATGAAAACAAACCCAACAAAACAAAAAGCAAGATGAAATGAGAGATTTGATAGTGAAATAAAACCCTGGTTTCTTGTTTCCCGGAAAGAAAGGCTTTGTTTGCTCCTCATTACCTTCTGAATCTACTACTTTGCTATGGAAAACTGACAATGATATTGTGAAACAAATAAATGGAATGTTTTCTAATTTAGAAAAGATTCTTCTGAAAACCTATTACAGTATCATTAGAGCAGTAGTCATAGTGAATTTCCTGCTTAGGTAGGGATGTTATTACTTTCCTAATTTGTCAAGTTGAGTCTCAAAAGCCATCTCATTGTATATTTAGGAAACTGGCTTTTTAGGAAAGGAAAGCTACTTGTATATGAATTTCTTGGAAAAATATCAAAATAGGCTAATAGCCCCAGTTGAGAGCCAGCCAAGATTTGCAGTCAGGTAGTATGACTTGGGCCTTGGTCATGCTTTCTGTGCCAATTAAAAATAAGACATGCTATTAATTGAATATTTTCTTGGACAAATAGGTATGTGTGTATGTGTGTGTGTGCATGTAATAAATTGAAAAAGTAAAATAAACAGAGACAAGGACAAAAGCTTTTTGTATATTTGCTGATGCTGGGAAGAGAACTTAATAGATGTAAAATGAAATTTCAATTTGTTTGCTCTCTCTTTCCACTTCTTCTCCTCCATTAATCTGTGGTTTGATTAAGTATTCAATGAACAGCATAGCTCATCTGGATGTAACAAGAAAGAAAATGAAAGGTCTCAGTTCCAAATCTGAGGAGGCAGTGGTTTTAATGAACTCTATAGGACAGTGATGAACTACTTGAAGTCATGTAAACAATGTCTACTACCTCTCCCCACCTCTCCCCTGCACCAACAGCATTGAGAACGTAGACGGGCAAGACAGAAGTGTGCATTTAAATTGGCTAAGATCAGGTCATCCCCAAAGTGCTTTTTTCTTCTGAGATTTTGCTTGAATTACTTATGGATGCCATAAGCCTACATGTAGGCAGTTGCCACCAGAGCTTTCTTACACCCTATTTGAATTATCGTAGGAAAATGTGTATTTTGGGCTAAGATGGTAAAGCATGAGTGAAAAACAAGGCGCTAACGTTGTCGTTGATGTGAAGGTATAGAGAGTATGATGCTATTGGCTTTTGGTCTTTCTTGTTTCAAGCATCTGGGCCCCCCCTCCTGTCCTTGTGCCTGTTATCTCAGGGACAGCTTAGTTCTCTCCATGGATTCCCTTCTAGAGTGAACCTAAATTAAACTTGATTGATGTGGGACAAGGAGAAGTCACAAGGGTCCATGGTTCACATTCATAGCATCTGTCAGACTCAAAGGAAAGCAGTTTAGGTGAGCTGTAACTGAAATTAGGCTTCCTAACGGGCTTTCTAAAAGTATGGTATAAGTTAGCCAACACTTCCTGTATTTCGTATACAAAAAAAATCCACAAAAGAACCCCTGTGGATTAAATTTGTACTAAGTTACATAGTAACAGAGATACAGACAATAGAAAGGAAATTATTTTAAGGTATATGAATAGACTGTAGGGTTATGATTATTGCTAACATCTTTTGGCCTGGAAGGGTCTCTTTAGTCCCTGGAAACCAGGATAATTTTCTTTAGATCCCCAAGAAATTCAAACTCTTCCCTCTGATTCCCAGGTGACTAGCTTCTCCTTACAATGTGTTGGATGCAATTATATTTTCCTGCAGGTCTCTGCAGTGCTTACCACTTTTCTACTTCTCTTAGAAGAAGGAATGGTGTAATCTTCTTAGCTGTAGAGCTCTGATATTTTATTTTCAATGTCCCATAAATCCCCTCTATCACAAAGCACCTGTTTTGTCAACAGGAAACCTTTCATTCAGGAACAATAATAATGGAGAGAGATTAACTCAGAGATTTCTCAGCACAAGATACCAAATATCCAGAGGATAATTAAAGTAGGCTTCCAGATGTTTTTGAATATAGACATGGAGACAAATACTGATCATCTAAGTAACTGATTCCCTGCCTACCATTTTCTACTCCATCATGTTTTTCATGCCCAAACAGACAATAATTTCAGCAGAAAACAAAAACAAAGCTGCCTTTTAATTAGTATGTAGAAAAAGAATAGAAAGGGAGCAGTTGATTTCCCAGCAATTTGGTAGCAAGTCCTCTGTCATATAGAGGTAGAAGAAAGTAGATTGCCATGGAGAAATGATGGCTCTAGTTAACAGAAAGCATTGATGAACCACTTATTAAGAAAGATGTGGTTTAGCATGTACACACATACTTGGTACAGATCATATTCCTAGAAAAATAATTCATTTATTTGTTCAGTATCGATCAAGCACTTGCTATGTGGCTAACTGTGGAAAATGATAAGATATTAATGGCAAACAAGAAGGCATGATTTATTTTTTTATTTTTTATTGTGAACATACTATACAGAGGGGTTACAATTACATGGGCAAGATAATGACTACATTTCTTATCAAGCATTGTAGCCTCCTCCTTTGCTTACCCTTCACATCCCTTCCCAGCCTGCCTCTGCCCCCTCCCACCTAATCCTCCCCCCCAAAGTTGTAAAGTTCGTTTTCGATATGACAACTTGTACTTCTCATTGTTGCAAAGGGTCCACCTGTGTCCTTACTTAAACAACTTGTTTTTCCCCTTCCCCTCCACAAATTATACTGACATCAAATACAGTGAAAGCAGGGGTTATACTGTGGGGGAGGGACATACAAAGCAACAAAGAGATAATCTTATAAATGCATTAGA